CAGTATTGTACGGCAACGTGCAGCATAGTGTTATGTGAATACTCGTGTAAGGAACATAACGTTACAAATTAAATTAAAATTGAACGTAGAAGACATAATAAGTAATAAACAACGTAAATGTGCTGCAAATTTTCGGAGGCCGAGAAAATTATTTTAATAGATTTAGCAACTCATTATAAAGATATGATAGAAAATAAAAGATCCGATATGATAACCTGTAAAAAGGACAAATATTGGAAAGTAATAGAATAAATTTTAATAGTACGTCTTCTACTGAATTTCGAAATTCATCAATTGCTCCATAGGAAATAAAGCATACTGCTTTATTTCTTAAAAAAGAATTATTTGTATTAATTTTAAATTTTAAATTTATATTTGTAATTGTAAATATTCGTAAAATTTCAGAAAAAAATGTATTTATAAATTTTTATTTATTATTTATTATTGTTATTATCTTTATTTTTATTTTTATTTATTATTTTTTATTTATAAATTTATTTTATAATTTTTTCATTTACTTGTCAGTCCCGAATTCTAATTCATTTCTAATATTTTCTAAAACTTCTAACACTGATTCTTTACTAAATCGAAATCGCATTTTAAACTCTATATAGTTCCTCAAAATAATTAATACGTTGTTTAAATCTTCTTTTTCTTCTATTAAATTGTTCAATAATAATATTCTCGTCATCGGAAGATGACAGTACGAGGTTATATGCCATGTTTGACACTAGTAATATTTCTTAACCGCAGTTCAACTACCTCTAAACGGCCAAAATTGGCCGTTCAATTTAAACTCAGTTTATATACGTTTAAACTAAGAAAAAAGTTGGTAGAAACCAATATTTTTGCTAAACTGGTTAATCAAATGTCACTAGGGATTAACTCTTTAAACTGCGTTGGTAGAAACAGGCCTATGGAACATATATAAATGGAAGGGACATTGCCTATACTTGTCCATGGCTACGTTCAGCAGAACACGACAGTTTGCAATCGTTTTATGATTAGAAATTAAAAATGCCTATTACAGTCGAAGCTGGATTGTCG